GGGGCAGGGGTGAGGGGAGAGGGGTCAGAGGGGAGCTGCTGGGGCAGGGGTGAGGGGAGAGGGGTCAGAGGGGAGTCCCTGGAGCAGGAGTGAGGGGAGAGGGGTCAGGGTTTGGCTGCTGGGTAGGAAGAGGGGAGAGGGGTCAGGACAAAGCCGCTGGGGCAAGGATCCTGGGACCAGAGGGGAGAGGGGTCAGCGTGCAGCCCCTGGGGCAGAGGGTATGGGGATAGGACAGAGAGTGCGAGGGGATAAGGTTGGAAGAGCATCAGTGGGACGAGGAGCAGGATTGGAGTCTGAGCAACGTAGGCAGAGGAAGACAAGGTTCAAGAGCAGGGTCTCTGGGATAGAGGGCTCAGGTTGGAGCTGCTGGATGGGGGTCCCGGAGTCAGAGTGCACAGCGACCAGGGCAGAGGCGCTGGGGCACGGGGGGCATGTGCTCTGTCCAGGTGGGCCCGGGGGCCTCACCTTGGGGGCCTCCCCCTCCAGACGGGTTTCCAGGTCAGTCCAGCTGTCATCACTCAGGGTCCTGACTACCACCTCACGGCAACGCTGGGCTCGCGGGGGCACAAAGAGCAGCCACAGGCCCACATCCTGCCAGGTGGCGCAGTGAGCATGGGGCCAGGCTGGGGAGCCCCTCCACTGCCCAGCCCGGCCCAGCCTTGCCTGCTGGAAGGCCACCCCGTGGGGCTGCAGCTCCAGGACTCGGCTGAGAAGGGAGTCGTGAGGCCCCAGGGGCACCAGGCTCGGCTCAGGCAGCCACAGTCGGTAGTGGATGGTGATGGGGGAGGCAGTGGCCCCCGCGGGAAAATGAAGGCGGATGCCACAGGCCAGGGTCACAGAGCAGCCTTGGGGGGTCACCGGGAAGCTGGATGGTGAGATGATGGCTGGCATCAGGGACCCCAGGGGGTCTCAGGAGGAGAGCCCAGGGCAGGGGCAAGGGGGCTAGCATGGCCAGGCCCCGCCCTGCTCACACCTGTCCAAATCTGTGCTCAAGTACAGCTTAGGCATTTCCAGAATGGCAGGTGTTCCTGTGGAAAAGGATGGAGAAGCCATCAGAGTGGCAATACGCCCTAGGTCCTGTCTGTGCCCTGCCCCTCCCTAGCACCAAGCCTACCTGGGGGGTTCAGGAGAGCCGGTGGGGCCTCGCCCAGGGGGTTCCCCTGCAGCCGCACAAAGGGGGCGTCCAGGAACTCGGGGGGCACGCTCCGCAGCTGGTTGCCCCTGAGGTCGAGCCGGGTGAGCAGCGGGAGGTGCAGGAGGCCGGCAGGCAGTGAGGTCAGGAGGTTGCTGCAGAGGACGAGGAGACGCAAGGCCCGCAGCCCCACTGGGGGCGGCACTGGCTTAGGGCTGGCAGGGCACGCCCCGGCCCAGAGCGCCCAGCTCAGTGAAACACTAGTCCCAGAGCCCGGAGAAGCCAGGACACAAGACGTCAGAGCCTCAAAGGCCAGGGCAGGGGGCCCCTGGCTGCGGTGGAAGAGGGGCCAGGAGCTCCCAGTGTGTCATGAGCCAGGGGGCCCTACTCACCAAGGGAGGCTGGCACGCTCTGCAGCCGGTTGGAGGCCAGGTTGAGCTCAACGAGGCTGCTCAGGTCTCCGATCTCGGGGGGCAGCCCCTCCAGAAGGTTCTCAGAGAGGTCGAGGCACCGCAGGGTGGATAGGGCCCCCAGTGCCGGGTGCAGCACTTGCAGGCGGTTGTGGGTCACAGAGAGGAAGGTAAGGGCAGGGAGGGCCCCCAGGGCCTGAGGCAGCTCGCAGAGGTAGTTATGAGAGAGAAGGAGTGCATCCAGGCCCTGCAGTCGAGGGACACAGGCTGGCAGCGTCTCAAGGCTGTTGAAGCTCAGGTCCAGGTGAGCCAGGCGGACCAGGTGACTCAGGCCAGGGGGCAGTGAGGTCAGGCAGCCCCGGAGGCAGGCACCCCGAGTGTCCCGATGCAGCCCACCTGGGAGGTAGGGGGAGCTGGGTGTGGACTTCAGATCCAGGTCCCAGCTCAGCCCTACCAGCCAGAGAAGGTGGCCGTGTGGAAGGCCACAAGTGGACATGGGGACTAAGATGGAGGCAGTAGAGAGAGGCCAGCACACAGAGGGAGACTATGACAGAGACCCAGGTCATCTGTCACCCATGGGGTCCCACCGACACCCATGTCCAGAGACGACCGGTCACCCATGGTCCCCCAGGAAACACTCCCACATGGAAGACTCCTGGGAGATCCCACCAGGCAGCCAGCTGCAGGTGCGTAGGCCGGGCCAGCCTCAGCTCTGGCTCAGGATGGTGATGTGGCTGAGAATAGGGACCAGACCAGGAGTGCCAGGGGCTCCCACTTAGGTGGGGAGACCCTGGGCTGGGGCCTGGGTTTGCTTTCAAGGACCACAGGGCAGAAGAGGGCAGGAGCTGCAGATGGCTAGAAAAGGGCAGGACCGGCTCACCTTTGACCACCAGGGATCGGAGGCAGGGCAGTCTGTCCGGCACCTGGGCCAGGGTGGCCTCCAGCAGCCCAGGGTCCTCGTGGGCACTCAGCCGCAGAAACTCCACCTGCTGCAGCTGTGGGGACGGATGGGCACAGAGGCGCAGCAGCTGGCGGCAGCCCCCCGGGTGCAGGTCCAGGTTCAGGCGGTTCCCAGCCAGGAGAGGGGGCGGCTGGTGCGCGGCATCCGTGGCTCCCTCTTCTGCATCTCTGGCAGCATCTTCTGCAGCAGCAGCCGGCACCTCGGGCTCCAGCCCTTCCGCCGCTGCAGCCATCGCCCACCGACCGCCCTTGGGGGCCGGACATGTCCCAGCTCGCCGGGCAGGCCTGCTCAGGCAGGACCGGGAAGCTGCAGAGGCAGGAGGAGGAGTGGGCTGGGGCGTCCACCGCAGGGACTCTGCAGGGAGCTTGAGCCAAACCATCTGGTCTCAGGGGCTGGGTGGCTGGAGTCGAGGAGGCCCCACAGTCACTCTGCAGCCCCGGGCATGGGTCATTCCTGGCAGTGGGTGTGCATGGCACCCGTAGCTGGCAGGAGACCAGCCGCTGGGACTCCAGGCAGTGGACCTGTCAGGTCATCCGGCTGACCTGCTCCTGGAACTGGAGGGCTGCCCACCCAGGTCCCACTCCCTGCACCAAGCACCAGCTCCGGAGGAGTGGCGAGCGCCCCTTGTGCCAGACAACTGAAGGCATGGACAGAACTTAGGGACCGAGCCACTGGGCGGCTTCCAGGACCTGGGGGCGGAGTCCCACTTAGTGACCCCTGGGGAGGGTCACCCACTGCCTCAGGAGTAAACCTCGGTGTGCTAGGGAGAGTGGTGCCGGGCTTGTCTGGCTCGAATCACCAGGAGGGCACCGGTCCCAGCCAGGAGCGCGCTCTCCCCCATTCAGAGCCGTCCGGGCTCTGTGGGCCCCCGGCGAGCGCCGCGGTCTGGGCCAGGAAAGGCTTGGGATCCCCCGCCCCGTCCGCAGCAAACTTTTCCGCCGGCGGCCCGCGTGTACCTGGGATCCAGGCCCGGAGCCGGCCCGGCGCCCGGGGGAGCCCTGCTCGGTGCCGGGTTCCCGCCCGCGCGTTTCCGGGCGGCGGGCGCTCTGCGCCCCGCCCCTCCAGGCCCCGCCCCTGCGCGGGCCGAAGGTCGCAGGCCCTGGGGACTGGGACGCCGGTCCCGCGCGCCCGACTGCAGCCGGCTTCCGCGACTTGGCGCAAATCCGTGCTGTGGGGTCTCTCCCGCCAGCAAGGCCCGCGTCGCGCCGGATGGAACGCGGCCTGCTGCTGTGCCTCTCCGCCCGACGCTAAGATGAGCCGGTGCGATCCCGGGGCGGGGCGGAACGCTCCCTCTGGACCAGGCACTGGGGAGCTCCACACACCCCAGGACCGGCCAGTGCTTTACTCTGAGCGCCCATTGAATGAATGAACAGGCAGGCCTAGTTCTGCCGACTCAGTACCGAGATGCCAGCCTCATGGTGCACCCTGTACGACCTCCCTGGCTACACCATTGTCCTACCTGGATCACAGGCAGCGTGCTGCCTTCATTCCCATCCCAGCACTGCCCCCACTCGCTTTCCACAGTCGCCAGAGGGTCAGGTTTTTGTTTGTTTTTAAATTTTATTGTGATTTGGGTGAAAGTTTATGGAGCAAATTCATTTTCCATACACTTTGTTTCATGACATTGACTGCACTTCCCCACAATGTAACAGCTCTCTTCCCACTTCCTCCCTGTAGTTACCTCTTCCCTGAGTCCTTCCCTCCCATGCACTCACACCCCCCCATCTGTCTGTCCAAACTCTGCCCTTTTGTTGATCACTCCAAAGAGTGTATCTACCTGATGTGAATGTCACCCCATCTGCCTGTTGTTTGGCTGGAAGCCACAGGAGTTCAGTTCCAGACCTGAAGGGTAACTAGGGGCCATAGTCTCAGGGGTCTCACCAGGTTCTATCAGAGCAGCACAGTCTTTTTTTATGATTCTGGGTTTTGTTCCACATTATTCTTCCACTCTGTCCAGGATGTCCTGCACTGATCCCCGAGTGGTTGACAGTGGGAGCCGTGCACCATCTAGTTCTTCTGGTCTCATGGTCATACAGGCTGAGGTTTGCATGGTCTGCTGTCCCTTGGACCAACTGTTTCCATGTCTGGTTTTCTTCATTCTTCTTTCCTCTGGATGAGGAGAGCCATCGTTGCACCTAGATGGCTGCTTGCAAGCTTTGAAGAGCCTAATCGCTTCTTGCCAGAGTACAATGTGGAACGTTTTGTGTACTATGTTATGCCAATTGAGCTTGATGTCCCCTGCAGCCACAGTCCTGATTCCACAGGTCCAACAACTTGCTCCCTCAAGGTAGCTGGCTGTGGCCAACAAGCCACCACACCTCATCCCTTGTCAGGTCTACTATACACTCAGGTGTTCTTACAACACATACAGATATGTTTGTACAAACATCTTCTGCCAACCCTATACGTGGCCATGGGCACTCCCCCCTGCCCAGACATACCTGATCATTCAGCCTGTCCACCCATCTACCTATCCTCGATCAATGTTTGCCTTCACTGACAATGCAGTACTGTATGTGCAAAAGGGTTCATCTTTATTGTCTATACCTCCCATGCACCTCTCTCCATCTTCCTCTTCCTCGGTGCCACCATGTTGATCACTCACATTGCCCTTTGGGTCAGTTATTTTTTTTAATTGTAGCAAAATACATGTAACATCTATCACTTCAGCTTCTTTAAGTATACAGTTCAGTAACATTACCTATATCCACAATGTTACCAAAAAAAAACCAAACTCACTGCCACCCAGCCAATTCCAACCCCTAGTGACTCCCTTTGGATTTCTGGGGTGGTAAATCTCTATGGAAGTAGGCTGCCCAGTATTCCTCCTGAGGAGTGGCTGGTGGGTCTGAATCACCAACCTTCTTCTGGTCAACACTCAAATGTCTTAGGCATTACGCCACCAGGGCTCATTATGCACAATGTTCAGTATCCCCGTTTCCAGTCTATCACCCAAACATGTCATGTCCCGGCTTAGAACACTCTAAAGGCTTCCGTGTGATTACAGTCAAGCCCCATCCCTGCTCAGTGTGGCCAGGACCAAGCGTGGACCCTGTCCGCCTGCCCCGGGGCCCTCATTTGGAAACAGAGGCGACCTCACCCAGGGTGCTAATGAAGCTGGGCTTTACACGCCAGTGCCGCGTGCACTACACTCCCGTATGGATTCCTGTCAGAGGGCTGCAAGGGCTGGCTGCTTCTCGGCCATCTGCCTTGGTGCGCCCACCCCACAGCTGTGCAGTGCCGGCTCCTTCTCACCCTGCAGCTCGTGTCAGCACCTCCGCCAAGCGCTCTCCGGCGGCGCCCCAGGCTTCTGTCCCTCTCCCCACTTCCTTTGCACCCCTTCAGGTCTTTCTCCGCCTGCGAATGGCTCCTTATCCACTGTGGGTCCTCGCAATAGAACGTACGTTCCGCGGAGGCAGGGCCGGCCTTGTTGCACCCATTCAGGATTCAACCGTGCGACAGGGTCTCTGAGGACAAGAGGGGGAGGAATGACACATGCTGAACACGTGTCCGCGTGGACACGGAGGTACACCGAGTCGGCTAGAGCGGAGCCGGGCATCCGGGTATCACCGCTCCCGGGCTCTGCTCCTCAGGGTAGCGGTGACGGGGTCTCACGGCTCTGCTGGGCCTAGAGGTTCCCCGAACGTCTTCAAGTCCGGCCGACTTGACCCAGGCCTTGACAATGCTGGTCAATGCCCCCGGGTAAGGCTGCAGCCATCAAGTCCAAGGTGGTTCCGGTTCTGCAGTGAAAACGCGAATGAGCCACTTGGCCGCTTCACGGAGTTCGGAGAGATGTGAGTGCCACTCAGACCCCGGAGGTCGTTGGGCCTCTCGTCTCTAAAGGTCGTGGCACCACCAAAAAGCTGAAAGGGCCATAGCCAGTACTCAGACTTCACCCGGACGCACGTGCTATCTCGGCGGCTCGTACACCTTCCGGCGCAGCCAACCCGCTTCCCACAGCAGTGCACCATGGGATTTGCAGTTCGCCGTAGGTTGCTCCTGTAGACGGACGGCCCCAGGAATGGTGTCCCGGGCGGGCGCACTGTATGTTGGGAACCATAGGCGCCGCGTGGCATACTGGGAATGCTAGGCGCCGAAGGGAGAGGAAGTCGAGTTGTGACTTGTGTTCTCCTTCCTGTGGCCGCCCAACGTTTTCGGGGGACATTCGCCTCAGACTGTATGAGAAGCTGGTCCTTGAACTTCCCCTAGTCTTTGCTGTGACTAAACCTTCACTAGGGTCAATGGCGTCTCCTCCGTCCTCATTGGCTGAGCGCTCCGTGACATCACCTGGAGGCGCCCCCTCGAGGCGCCATGCGCGTGTCGTAGAGGTTTCTGGGTAGTGGTTTGGTCCCGCCCCTGAGCTGGTGTCTTCCTTTCTCTCCCTGACGCCGCCGAGGTTGCACGCGTGAGGCCTGCCCGCTGCCGCAGCCGCCGAGTAAGTGGGACGGCCGAGACCTGGGGCGGGGACGCGGGGACCGGGTGGGCGCGTCGGGTCGCAGGCAGACACGCCACCCTGGGGTGGCCGCGGGCAGGGTCCTCCGGGCCAGGCCACGCGCGGCCCCGCCCGGCCGCCGGCCACAGTGCGGGACGGGGGTGGGGGGCGGAAGGCCGCCGGTCACGCGGCGGCCTCCTCGTTTCAGGATGCGCTACGTCGCCTCCTATCTGCTGGCCGCCCTCGGGGGCAATTCCTCCCCAAGCGCCAAAGACATCAAGAAAATTCTGGACAGCGTGGGCATCGAGGCCGACGACGACCGGCTGAACAAGGTACTCTGGTCGCTTCTCCGCGCGCAGCCGGCGCCTCACCGCCCCGAGCCTGCTTCCTGGGGGAACGCGTGGGACCGGCTGGCGGGCGTGGGGCGCTCGGTGCCTGTGCAAGGGGCTCCTTGTTGGACTTCCTTTGGCCCTGGCGCAGCGAGGCCTGGGCAGCGGGAGCCGGGGCGCTGAAAGCGAGTGCTGCGAGCGTCGTCGTGGCCGCGTTGCAGGGGGGACAGGCCGAGGCGGAAGTCGGCGGAGTAGGAGTGCGGACGGCTCGCTGTCCATCGTTGGGGCCGTGTTCCTTTCGCGTTGCGCCCTGGGTGGTGGCAGGTGGTCTGCGGGAACCTGTCTTCCCCGGTGCGCCCTCCCCCTGTGAGCCGTTCAGACCGTTGCCGCGTAGCGGACAGGTTCGGGAGGGAGCCACCAGGACCGATCCGTCTTCAGGGGACTGCCTGGGCTGAGGCTCAGGCCGATGGGCTTCCCCCCGGGGCTCTGGGTCCCTGTGGTCACTGGGGCTGTGCTTGCTTCTGCAGGTTATCAGTGAATTGAATGGGAAAAACATTGAAGACGTCATTGCCCAGGGTGAGTGTGGCATACACCCCTCCGGACGGCTGCAGTCCACATGGTCCATCCTAATCCCTGCTGGCCCGCCCGTGGCCCGTCAGGTTTCGCTTATGGACCAGAGCACCCCGGAAGCCTGGCCAGGATGAGTGAGCAGGCCTTGTGTGGGCTCACCCCATGGGCACTTCTGCACAGTCCCCAGAGCTGCTCAGCTGCAGGGGTGGCCTGGGCCCTTTTCCTGGGATTTCCATGGAGCTGTAAGGTCTAAACAGTGTTCACCACGTGGTCCCTGTTGGCAGGGCTGCCAGTGTGGCCGCCAGCTCCTCCCTGTTTTTCTGGGCAGATGATTTTCTGGTGACATCAGCTGGAGATGTGAGGGCAGCCGTTCACTGTTCTTGTCAGGTGACCTGGCCAGGCCAGGTCAGCAAACAGCCTGATCCATGAGCTCACTGTTGTGGCCTGGGAGCTGGACCCAGGTCAGCAGCTGGTTGTAAACATGTTTGTCCACTTACTGCTACGAGCCTGGCTTCCCCTGGAAAGGATTCTCAGAAGCCAAATTCCTGGATAGAAGCTTCCCCAACGGGAAGGGGTGGTCTGGTGGAACCAAGCCTTTGGTGTCCTTCTGTTCCTGTGAAACTGGGCTCACCTCCCTCTCTGGTTCAGGTATCGGCAAGCTTGCCAGTGTACCTGCTGGTGGCGCAGTAGCTGTCACTGCGGCCCCGGGCTCCGCAGCTCCTGCTGCCGGCTCCGCCCCAGCTGCAGGTGAGTGGGTCAGGGCCCACGGGGTCTCCAGTTGGGAGTCTGGCCCCTCGTGGTCAGGGCATGCTCACCATCTTGGGTCTTCTCTTGACAGCGGAGGAGAAGAAAGACGAGAAGAAGGAGGAGTCCGAGGAGTCGGACGATGACATGGGATTTGGTCTCTTCGATTGAGTCCCCTGACCCTACAAATAAAGCCTTTTTATGTATCTTGAGCAGCGTGGTAGCGCTTTGTACTTTGTTGAGTGTGGCCTTTGCCGAGGCAGGTGGCAGATGGGAAGCTATTGTGGGATGGGGAGGAGCGGGCAGTTTGAAGCTGGTCTCTGGTGCACACTGAGTCGCTGGGATTTGGGTGGTCAAGTGAAGGGTGTGGATCACAGCTGATGGGTGCTTTGTGTGGCCCTTGGCTGGGGCCAAGATTTGAGCAGGCTTGGGAGTGGGCATGAGACCACCTCTGAAGACCACCACAGCCAGTCTGGACCTTCCTAAGGTCTGAGTTCTTGTAGCCCTCAGGGAAGGGAAGGGAACCACCTGCACTGGTGGCCGCCTGTGTCACAGGTGAAGGGTCCCTAACGCAATGCAGGGGTCCCTTAGTTTTCTGCAGGCACCCTTACTGCACCTTCACCTCCCCTTGTTTGTAATTGTCCTGCAAGAAGAGGGCTCTGCCCACAATGTGGGGCCCAGGACCTGTGCCCCTCTGGTCCACAGGTTGCTACTCTTTCACTGTTGCCCATACCCTCCCCCACCAGCTGTGGTGCGTTGACCATGCTGTGGGCCAGGCTTTGTTTTGGGACCCAGCACCTGGCCACAAGCTTTTCTGGGGGGAAAAAAAGTGGCTGTGGGTGGTGCAGATGGTTAAGCGTTCCATTTCTTGCCAGAAGGTGGGTGGTTTGAAGCCTCCCAGAGCTTTCTGAAAGCTCACCCCCCAAAAGGAGCACTAGGCTGGCAGGTGGGGAAGACAATGCAGGGCTTCTATGGCGATGGGTGTCTCCCTTACAGAGCTCTGGGGGGTGTGAACAGGCACCAGCTGGGTGTGAGGGGAAAGCCCCTGATGGAGGAGAGGCAGGTGAATTGGGTTTCTGGAAAGACCCCAGTGGTTGCTAAGGGAGTTGGGGGTGGTACAGGGCCCCGCCTCATGCAGTCCAGAGAGGAATGAGGGAGGCCAGAAGAGGATTGAGGGCAGAGGTGAGGGGAGGGGGAGAGAGGAGGGGCAGAGGCGCCTGGCCATCAGGGCCACTTCAGGATAAGGGCCTGTCCAGGAAGGGGTGGTGCTGTCATTGTAGTGTACCATGTCTGAGAGGAATGTCTCCCAGGCAGAGGTGGTAGGAGAGAGGCCCCAGGGTCCAGAGCCTGGATCTCACCATCCCAGACTCAGTCTCTGGGAGGTCTGTGTTCCCCACAAAGGCCACATGGGAGGGTACGACAGCCCGCCTGGCAGAGCCTTTGCACATCCAACACCAGATGCCGGGAGGGTCCTCTGCTCCTTGGAGCACACGCTGACCTGGGGGGTCTCCCACCTCCCGAGTGACCAGAGGACAGGTGAGGGGTGACCCCACCCCTGCCAGGATTCTGGGAAGTTTCCTCTGTTCCTGGCTCCAAGCCTTCCTCCTAGCCGATGGTCCCAGGGGCCTGCGTGGAAGGGTTGTGTACTCAGTCACAGCAAGTGTGTGTGGAAATGGGGGCAGAGGTCCCCTTTCCAGACCTCCCCTTGGAGCAAGCAGAGTGTGGGGTATAGTTAACTCCCTGGCTCTATCCACAGGTCCTGCTTCCCCCTTGACGGTCCCTCCAACGGTCCCCAGATGACTAAAGCAGCTGGAGCCCCTTTCCACCCCCTTGGACGTTTTGAGGCTGGTCTTGGGGACATGTGAGTCTGCCCCATGGCCCTGTCCCCTAACATTCCCCTCCCCAAACACCTCCAGCAACATCAATCATCCTCATTCACTCACACCTTCCACAGCACCCCTAAACCCTTGCTCCTGGCCAATAGGTCCCCATCCAAAGCATTGGGGGGCTGGGATCCTATCTACAGAGGAAAGGAAGGGGCTTACATCAAATCCAATCATATGCCTCTACTGCTCAGGGTGAGGGCTTCCCCACCCCCCCAGACCTTGTGCCCCAGGGCCTTTGCACTTGTCACTCTGCTGGCTGGCTGGCCCATGTCCTTTGTGGGTTACTTCTGCTTCTCCTTCAAAGCTAGCTGCAAGGTACCACCTCAGGAAATGCTCCCAGTTCCCCCCTCTCATTTTGAGCTTGTGTAGACTATGCCCTTCCCCACAAGAGCCTGACCACTGGTCTAGAGGTTTGTTCCTGTCAGTGTGGGGTAGCTGGTAACACAGAGGCTGGGGACCGAATAGCATGACCCCAGACAGCTGTGTGTGGCTCCTCCAGCCAGCTGGGGTGTGTGTGTCTGTGTCTGTGTGTCTGTCTGTGTGTCCCTGCTCTGTGGCTTCTCCAGCCAGCCGGGGTGTGTATGTCTCTGTGTGTGTGTCCACGTGTGTCTCTGTGTCTCTCTGTGTGTGTTAGCACCAAGTCCAGCCATGTGTGTCTCTGTGTGTCTCTGTGTGTGTGTCTGTATGTATTTGTGTGTCCTTGTGTGTCTCTGTCTATGTGTGTCTGTTTGTGTGTACCTGTGTGTGTCCCTGCTCTGTGGCTTCTCCAGCCACCCGGGGTGTGTATGTCTCTGTATTGTGTGTCTTTCTGTGTGTGTTAGCACCAAGTCCAGCCATCTGTGTGTCTCTGTGTGCTTGTCTGTATTTCTCTGTGTTCGTGTGTGTGTCTCTGTGTGTGTCTGTGTCTATATGGGTCTGTTTGTGTGTCTGTGTGTGTCTCTCTGTGTCTGTGTGCATCTGTCTGGGTGTGTCTCTGTGTCTGTCTGCATCTGTGTGTCTGTGTGTGTGCTAGCACCAAGTCCAGCCCTATGTGTGTGTCTCTGTGTCTCTGTGTGTGTCTGTGTGTGTCTATGCGCGTGTGCCTGTCTGTGTGTCCATGTGTGTGTATGTCTGTGTGTGTGTCTGTGTGCGTCTCTGTCTGTGTGTCTTGTGTGTGTGTCTATTAGCACCAAGTCCAGCCCTGGCCTTTGCCTTTGCCTCCCTGGGTCCTGCTGGAACCCAAGGAGCTCCTCCCTGGGGAGGGCCATTCTTGGAAGCTGGACCCAGACTGCTCCTTGTTTGGGGTGTTGGGGCGGGGTGCAGGGCTGGCTCTGAATGCCAGCCAAGCAGGGCCTGCTCCACAATCCAGGGAAAAATGCAGAATGGGGCAGGAGGGTGACATCAGCAGGAAGCGCTCCACCTGCTAATTAGCAGGGTGGGGTTGGCATTCAGGGCCTCCGAAGGGTCCCTAGCTAAGTGGATCCCCCAGCCTGAGGGGCCTGGGCAGGACCCTGGTCAGTGGTGCAGCTACCAAGGGCCGAGCAAGTTGGGTCAAGGCTGAGGCCTGGTGGAGGTGCTGAGTCTATGGGCTGGTGTGAGCTATGGGGACTACTGGTGTGTCATCGGGTTGGGATGTTTATGGGTCAGAGCCTGGGCAGGTGTGTTGCAGAGGTCCTGGAGATTCGGAGAGTCTGTCGTCTGCGTGTAGGCTCTGAGGGGGCTGCCGTGTTTACTAACCCCAGCCAGTTGCTACGTCTCGGGATGGGGATGGCAGGGGGACCCGGGCGGAGAAGAACCCACTCTGCAAGTGCTCCCAAGCTCAGGCTCGGGCGGCCCCGCCTCTCAGCCGCCCACGATTGGGGACGGGAAGGGAGCGGTGGATGCCAGGGTGCGTGGGAGCGCATCTGCGCCGGGGGCCAGAGTTTAAGACCCCGGTGAGCGACGGTGGGCGGGTCCCGAGAAGAGGGCTGGGGGCGGGGTCGGCCGGGCTTGGGG